GCTGTTTTTTTTTGCTCTTTTAAGGAGAGTTTCAATTATTTAATAATTGTTCAAGTACTTCGAACTTTCAAATTTAACGCAAAGTTACATTCTATTATATATTACTTTTTGTATCAATTTCATGTCTATTATATACTATATCTATTCATTATATTATTTCATATTTTATTATTTCAAGGACATCTCTTTGAAAATCAAAGTCTGTCCCAAACGAACAAACATAAATGTATATTTTCAGCAATTTTCACAATCAGTCTCATCTTCGTTAACGCGATTTCCTTCACGCGAGCTACACATGATTTTTCAACTACAATTGTTAATTGATGCGAATGAAAATTGGCAAATGGCCTCGCCGGCAGTTTCGAACTTCAGCCAAACCTACGTGCATTTCATTTCACGTACGCTAACCTGACATGTACGTATGTATCTATAATACATACTTACTCTCCGCGAGTAAGTCTGCGTCGGATATCTTCGAAATTACCCGACACACGTGTAATTAGCAATTAACGGTTAATTTTGTTTAATCGCCTTGGGGGCAGTGCTCGCACGAGGTACAGGTAGCGCGAAAAATTCACTTTTCGGCGCCGATCCCGCGTAATTGATGCGCGTGATGCACTCCTGCATTCGGGATTGCACGGAACCGCATCGCTGCCCTCGCGTGCTTCGTTAATCACGCACGTTGACGGTTGAATCTTGGTGAAAAGAAAAAAAAAAAAAGAGGCGATAGAGAGGACGAAGAAAAGAAACTGAACGCGCTCGCGAGCGAGCAGGAGAGAAACAGAGAGAAAAGGAGAGAACGATTGGAAGGTGGGGGAGGGAGAAGGCATAAAAGACATGAATGCGAAGTCGTTGCTCGCTTTGCTGCTCGCGCAGGAAGCTCATCGAGAGTTATGCACAGGACTGTACATGCACCGTGCATTCTTCGTTTATCGAATTTCTTCGTTCTTCCCTTTTTCTCTTCCACCACCACCTTCCCGTTAAAATAATAAAATCTCTCTTTTTCCTCGTCGTGCTGATAACAGCGACGATTTGTTTCCTCGTCTCTCTTTTTTCAAAGGATGAAACGAAAATCTCGGATTATGCCGCGGCTCGGTTGGTTCGTTTAATATTTCCGAGCTTTCAAGGTGACGTTCATTTCAAATTTTTCACGCTCCGTTGTTTGGTGGAGTTAGAAATTGCGCGAACGAAAAATCTTTGGATCGCGTCACTGTCGATTTTTATACGCTGCAGCACATTTTTCTACGATTTAATTCAGCAATATGATTTTAATATTACTGAATTAATTAAATTAATTAATTTAATTAATTTAATGCAGAAATATAGTTTTACAAGGTGTTATTTATTAAATAAAATATAGTTTTACAAGCTAGTTATTTATTAAATAAAATATTAAAATATTAAATATTAGATAAAAATATTAAATAGATATTAAAAAAATATTAAAATATTAAATATTAGATAAAAATATTAAATAAATATTTAAGAAATATTAAAATATTAAATATTAGATAAAAATATTAAATAAATATTTAAAAAATATTAAAATATTAAATATTAGATAAAAATATTAAGTAAAATATTAAAATATTGAATAAAATATTAAAATATTAAATATTAGATAAAAATTTACAATTAAAGTTAGGCGCAATTAGAATTTGCAATTGTAATTTGCATCCATATAGATAATTTTTTAAAAGAGGTCGTTCATTTGTTTAACATTTTTGGATTTTCATGATAAAACTGAGTGATAATTTGTGATTAATAAACAGAAGAATCAGACTTAATGGTAATAATTTTATTCTATAACATCATGTAATTTAGAAATTACATATTCATATAATGTGTTCACACTTTGACAAGTTCATTTTATTTGCTTACTATCGTTTCGTTAGTATATTTCATCAATACGATATTAAATTAATTAATTGAAAGTCAATACGGTATATTGATCTACAATTGTAATTAACAATCCTTCTACCTCGTAAGTACATGAAATTTTGATTATGGAAAGATAAATACAGAAAATAATACATACTAATGAATCAAATAGAAATTCATCGTGTCAACGAGATTAGATAAAACGAAGAGATATAATTGAAACTATTACGTCATCTACTCGACACGATTTATTCCGATCGTCGTAAAATACTACGAAGAATAAAATGTTTAATGTATCGAATATTTTTCGTTAAAAATTCGAATGACTTTTTCATTTTTAAAGAGAAAACCTTAAATATTGCCAGAGAAAAAAGAAAAGAAAGGAATGAAACGTAGTTTCGAAGAACGATAAAAAGTATCTGTATTTTATTCTTCGATGGGCAGTGTTTTATTAAACAAAATTAAAATTGATGACAAATATACCTAATACATTATCATTAATACTTAATAAAAAGATAACTTGTGGTACATAAATAAGTGTATAGTCATTGAAATTGTCCGTTATATTTTAGTCGACGTGTGTTTGCGATTTGCTCGATAAAAGTAATCAGTTCTTATCGGAGTATGACTTTTCTTTTTTAGAAGCTCATTTTTAAATGTCACATGTATAAATAACCGATACGACAGATGAGAGAGAAAGAGGGTGAGAGAGAGAGAGAGAGAGAGAGAGGAGAGATCGTATTGATAATCCATACTATTCCAAAAGTGACATAAAATTTATATAAAGGTTTACAGTCGATGTATTTTCGAAGCACGTACATATATTGTTTTAGAAAGGATTTTTATTTTCGAAGTTTTCATCTATATTTTCAAATGTTCCAAAAGTGACGTGAAATTTATATAAAGGATTGCACGTAAGGATTGTATTTTCGAAGTATATTCGTCTCAAAGAAGATTTCATTTTCAAACCGAGTGAACCGAGAAGTGTTTCTGTGTGCTGCTTCGAGAGAGAAGCGATATTCGTGTCACGGACTGTACGAGAAGCCATTTTGAATCTTCCTTGGAAAATTTATTACTTTACCTTCATTAGTTTCCACGTTATCCGAGTTTAAACACGCTATATCGTTTTCTATTCAGTCTCGCAAATGAGCTCAAGGTTTATTAATGAACGTCAACCGATTAAAGTTAAAATTTCGTAATTAGCCATCGTAATTGAAGTGTTGTAAATTTATTTGAAAGGGGGGAGGGAGATCTTTAACATTGGAAAACTAACGACGTCAGAATGAAACAAGCTGTATGACAAAAAGTAATTTTAAAATTGTAAGAAAGGTTCAAGTAACGTTTACATACACGGGTAAATAAAAAATACAAGAGTTTACGTGTGCATTTTACAAATGATAATTTAAATTTCTAAAGATGCAAATTCGTAGAATCTTTAAAATTTCAAAATCATTCCGACTAAATTTCAAAATCATTTCGAAATTATCGTAAAAAATTAACTTGCAAGCCCGTAAAATTTTTATAAAGAAAATCCTCTTAAATTCCAGATTTATAAAATTTCGATAGATAGAAACAAAAAAAAAACGAATAGTTGTACAGAAATTTATAAAATTTCTATCAAAAATTACATCTATGTTTAAAACTAGGATTTGGTCGTTTCGCTACGTATCAAAACTACATGGTATCAAAAGAACTGAGAATGATTTTCAACTTCCTGGTGAGAATAAAACGGTGGTATTCACGTATACCAAGAAAGATGTTTTCTAAAGCATGTGCTTTTTTAAAGGAGCACATTGTTACAAATGAGGGCCGCTGGCGTGGGATATGAGTCATCTAACGACTTGTTTCACTTGACGAACATCCATAAAACTGAACTGACGGCTTACAAATAAGCATACTCGACACCACAGCCTTAAAGCCACTCCAATGTTTCGTTTCACTGCCAGCCGTATTCTTGCTTATTAGACCTCGCAGAAGATTAAAACCAGATTCAATTAAATTTCGAAAATAATTTCTTCTATTTAATTTAAGTGTCAGACTGAGACACAGCCTGGCCCATGAAAAATGGATTAACGTACACAACTGTACGCGATATGGTGAGATATTATCGCACGATACATACTCCGTTATATAATATATTTTTATAATTGTAATTACGATTATATACACATGTTTTCCGAATTAAAAATTCATATTCTGTTATTTATTATCACAATTATATTTCTCTAAATATAATTATTTATTTTCACTAATACATATTATTAATATATAATATATATATGTATAAATAATATATATTATTTTCACTAATATAATTATTTATTTATTATCACAATTATATTTCTCTAAATATAATTATTTTCACTAATATATATTATTAATATATAATATATATTATTTTCAGTAATATAATTATTTATTTATTATCACAATTATATTTCTCTAAATATAATTATTTATTTTCACTAATGTATATTATTAATATATAATACAAATAATGTATAAATAATATATATTATTTTCACTAATATAATTATTTATTTATTATCACAATTATATTTTGTTTGTATTATATTAGTTTATTATACATCGAGTATTATAACAGATATTTAACTAATTTGTAACGAGTATCGCGCTTATCGTTTTTATTAATTCTCATTTGTGTTATTTATATATAACGAGTATTGTATTTCAAATATCCTGTACGTTCTTCTCTCAATATGTTCGTCAGAAATCCGCGAAAACATCATTCACCAGTCACCTTTCATTCAAAACCAAAACTTTCCCCACCTCTCTCCCAAATCTCCTCTCGAACGTTTTTCTAACACTTGCCGCGAGACGTAATATCACTTCGTAAACACATCCGAGCTCACATTCGCGAGTTGCCGGAAGCGAGAGAGGTCGCCGAAACTGCGCGTTGCAAAAGAAAATTTCAGTCAGTCGTTCGTGCCACGCCGGGACCTTCCGAGCTCGTACGAAACAAAACAGGTTCGTCCAGACGTGAACAGTCTATTAGACGCGTCTTTAAAACCTATCTAGAAATTACGGCGTGATTCGCCAGGTGGTGGAGAGAAGATTCGACTTCAATTAAGCTTCGAAACGGCGAATTTCTGTTGCAGTTATTGGGCGGTGCTTGCTTCAGCCACGGTCCGTACACGTTCTACAAAGCAGTTCGAATAGGAAACGGTCGTGTACTTCGTCTTGGGAGCTTCTTCCTGACGAAACTGTGGAGCGATGCCGACCTCGTCAGCATCGGTGAACTTCAGCTGCTGTGGATGGACAGCCGGGGCCCGAACCAGCCCCTGGCTTCTCTACGGCTGTACTTCTTGCCGGAGAACACCCCGGATGGACGAAGGGACACACACGGAGAGGTGAGTGCTTTCAACTCCGAATTTCAGACCGTCTATGCGAGCCTCTTGCATTGATCTTGACTTTTTTCAATCAGCATTTAGCGACTGACTGATTTTATTTCGGTTTCCGATTTTTTTTTTTTTTTCTTCTTTAAAAGTTCTTGCGTCAGACGTTCTAGCTTTCTAGAAGCTCGACCTCAGTTTTTAGTAATTGCGTAACTTTATCAGAGACGATCATAATCAATTAGTGACTCAGATCTCTTGGCGTTATGAATTCAAGTCGTGATGTTTTGTTTCTTTTTTTTTTTTTTTTTTTTTTGGGTTTTCTTATTCCAATAGTAGATAATCTCGTTACGCAAGTCGTTCTCAAGAATCGTGTTCGACTTTTTTGCAACTTTTTAGCGATTTCTTGTGTTTATTATGTAAGCGGACAATCAGTTCTGCTGTACTCGGCTCTAGTAGTTTAGAACTTCCAGTCAATGCTGATTTCTTATTATAATCTTATTAGAAGAGTAGTAGAAGTGGATGATTAACATTCAGGTCTTTCAGTCTCTCTATAAATTTAAGTTTTATATGTATATTTTACATATATACTTTCTATATATATATATATATATAGAAAGAGAGATGATTTACTTTCGTAAGTTTCGATTCTATCTTAATCTGTTTTTGGAAGATTGTTAATATTCAGCTTTTATAAAAAGCAAGTTCGATTTGTAATTTCGATTCTTGAGAAATAAATGATTTGCTTCAATTATAAATTCAACTCCAGATTTTTTTCAAAGTCTTACATTACACGTAAGAGGAGCGAATAATTTATTAATTCCTTAGTTTGATTATGTAAGTACACGTTTAATATTCGATCTTTTAAATAAGCAAATAATTTCCTTTTATAAATTCGTTCATCGTTGGAACGACAGTAGTAAGTTCGAAGGTAAATTTAAACAGATTAGAAATTTACAGTATTAGCGTTTACTTACTTTTTAATTTATGGAGTGGATCAATGCGATTTTTGAATGGCTCATATGTCGAGAGTATTTTTTTTTAGAGAGAAAGACACGATAAGATACATTTTTCGTTCCTCCTTCTGTGTGAAGGCCACACGAGAGAAATATAAGTAAAACTCGAAATAGTTAGAAAATAAAGGAATGATCTTTCAAGTAAGATAATAAATCTGCAATATATTTCGCGATGGATGATTGATATTTCTCGTTTGTCATATTGAACAAGCCTCAAATTCATTAAGTTACATCAGTTCTATTAACATGGATGTTATTAATCATTTAAAATTAAAATTAATTTCTCTTATTTTGATATTGAAAGGAATGTAACACAGCAATAGATCGATATACGTATCTATGTATATATTCAACAGACAAGACAGACTTTCATTCTAGCTGTCCGTGTGTTCGTCAGAATTTAATACTGATTTAGTCACATGAATATTTAATCGTGACTATTGAGACAAAAGTGGGAGAACGAACGAAAATTGTGTCTCGTCATATCTTTCCTCTGTGATCTTCAAGTCATACACGGTGTGTCGGAAGTAGATAAGAATTCACGCTACATGTGTACTCGCAATCACAAAAGATAGAAAGTAACGCTTTCGAGCACACACAAACACACACACACACATGCGCGCACACAGTGAATCAAACGGATTGCTTATTCGGTCGCTCTCGTCATTTAATGGAAATGTAATATAAATTAGAGGGAAGCAATCTCGATTCACGGGCGATATCGGCCGGAGGAGGGAGGAGGGAGGGGGAGGGGGAGGGGGGAGGAGCGTGAATAGTTATACGCGCTGTGAAAATAGAAAGTAATATTTTAAGCCGATAAATCAACCGCGTTTGTTACATTGTGACTTTATATTGCGAAAGTAACCAGTCAGACGTGCGCGCGCGCGCGCGCGCGTGTGTGTGTGTGTGTGTGTAAGATACACAGAGGTACGCAGAGAGAGATACGTGAGCGTGATTCAAAAGTAAAATGGTAAAATAGAAAATCTCACGGCAGAGGGAAGAAGAAGTACGTAGAAAAGTTAATCTCGTTTCGCGATAGAAGCCGAGAGCGCGAATTACTCGGGCGTAATCTTTTATTCGAGTTAATTGCCCCAGATAAGATAATAAGCAATCTTTTGCCTTCTAAGTTTAAAATATATAAAGCACGGCATTTAATTGAACATATAATCAGAGCGAGGCGACGTTTAAGAAGAGCCACGAAATAATACAGCCTTGTAATTTTTCATACAAAAGCGACGACGATGGGTCGTCCTTTGTACGAAATTTCGTTCTTTTGAAGTTTGAATTTAGTCGATGTTTCTCTAGTATAATTTTACTATAATTTAGTGTGATTAATAATTTAGTATAATTTAATATAATTTTTATAATAAATATAATATTTTTATCAATAATTATAATATAATATAATTTTTATAAATATAATATTTTTATCAATAATTATAATATAATATAATTTTTATAAATATAATATTTTTACAAATAATTATAATATAATATAATTTTTATAATTTAATATAATTTTACAATTATTTTACGATTTATTACATCGTTGAAATTTGTCTTATTTCACTAATTTCTGACTTCGTCTCGTAATTTTTGTTACGATGTAAAACAATTTTAACGAGTCCCTCGCGATTTTTGAAACTCCATGAGCTCCCTGATTAAACAACGATAGCATAAACGTTACGCGATTGCAGGGAATTCTTATTTGAATTCCTCAAGGCATTTTGAGAAATATTCCTCGAAAAATTTCTCTTCTCCTTTTATTTTTCCTTCCATGTGTTTTATTTTCACGGAATTAATTTAACACAGTGTACAAATGGTGTATTATCCTAGGCTCAGTTTCGTCTATTATTTAAATTTAATTATACTGCAAGAGTTTCTCTTGTTTTTCATCTTAATGAAGTTAATTTAATATAATGTACAAATGGTGTATTATCTTTGGGCCGGTTTCACGTATCGTTTCAACTTCATTTGCACGTCCACAATTAAAAACCTCTCTGGGATGTTTTTTTTCTTCTTTTCTTTTTTATTTTCTCCTTCGTCTTTTTTCGTTTCAACGAGATTAATTCAACGTACAATGCAAATAATACAAATAACGCATTATACGACAAATGATAACGAAAATTATCCACGGAGTTAGTTTCGCGTATCGCATCGGAGCCGGAGCGATTATTTCCAGCGACAACGATCAAAAGCTACAATTTAACTAAAATTAATCTGTCTTATAATAACGCGATTACCACGGCCGTGATAGCGTTCGGGGCACATTCGTGTACTCGGAATCAAATTCACCTTGTATTATGCTAACGACATGCTAATAGGCCCCTTCTTTAACGACCGTTTCCTTTTGTGAGCTCGCTTTTGATTCCTCGAGTCCTCCTCATCCACCGTGGCTTCCCATCTGGCCATATTAATTACGAAATATCGTATCCGCCAGCCGTCCACGGCGTTTCGAATGTCGAAGCAAAACTAAAACGGAGACAGAAAAAAAGAGAGAGAGAGAAACACAGAGACAAGTCTGTGAACTCTACAATTAGCTTTGGATAAAACTTTCTAGCTTTTGTTTCTAGTACTAAATTGCATTATGAAGCGGGTTTATAAATATTCAGAAAGAAGATTGTTATGCAAATCGACAAATGTCTGCACGTGTATAGTATTTGTGTAAAATGATTAATAATTACGGAGAGAGGACAGGGATAAAATTTGGAAAGGAACAGTTTATTTTCAATTGTGTGAACGCTGCTTGAAGTATCTTTTGAGAAGATGTTTTGTGGTTTCAATAGAATAGTGATTTAAATAGGAGAATAGAATTCTCGCGAATAAAATAATATTTATCTCGCGTGAACGTGAAAGAGGACGAAGTGAAATATTTAAATCTTGTATTTTGTTTTGTGCGTTTGAAATGTTTTTTTTTTTTTATTTATAAAAGTGGACGAAGGGAAAATTTAAAATCAATAAAATGTTTGTATTCTCTTGTACACTTGTATATCTTCTTCTTCTTCTTCTTCTCAATAATATGATTGAGACAGATTTGAAATAAACACGTGATAAATATTTCAAGATGGAATCTCTGGAATATTCTCATCCTTCGAGTAAAGCACCATTTTCAAAATTCAGAAACTAATATGAGATATTTCAGTTTTTGAAGTGACGCGCGTAATTTGAAATAAAAAGCGGATTGTTCGCTATTCAAGGTGATATTTTAGCCCCGATTAATTCGGTCGTGAATGAAACAAAAATTGGGAGAAAAGAGGAGAGAGGAAAGAGAACAGGAGCATGAAACGAAAAATGAATGACGTGGACTCGAAAAATTTATGGAATTTTCGAGGCACGTTCGCGAAACAAAATACAGATTTATTTTCCCCTGCTAATAGAGGAACGTGCGGCAGGGAGGGGAAAAAAAAAAACGAGTAATCGGTGTTATCGAATTTTTGTTGCGCCGTGGAACGCAATGCTCACTCGATAATTTAATTGAGACTCGATAATTTTCTTGAACGAACACAGAGCACTCGCGATATAATATCCTCTTGAATTCACGTGTCACGTCGCGTTTTCGCGTATGTAAATTTTCGCTTAAGAATATTTTCTATGCGAATGTAATTGAATATTTATAGTTTTAGAATAGAGTATTTGCATTCGTGCATGCACTATCGTACTTGTTCAATATAATTAAATTAAAATTTCATTAAATACCCGATTGCACGTATATAAGGAGAGAAATATTTGTTTAATGTTTCAAAGAAGTATTTCGAGTTCATCCAAAGAAATATATAATCGAAACATACATTGAACATACCTGTAGACTCAAACAACGTGTAAAATAAATGTAATAAATTAAATCAAATAACCATTTCAGCTTAACCAGCAGTGTTTGTTCTTCCTCTTGGCAAAATACAATCAAATTAATCGAAAAAAGGACTGGCGATAAAATTGCGTTGTAAGACGGTGTTTTCGTGTTTATTTGAGAAAATGCGAAATGAAGACACACGATTGGTAATAGTGTGCGGCGAGATAATTAGAAGAAAAAAAAAAAAAAAAAAAAAAAAGGAAAAA